CATTTGCTAACTTTATTATTACCTTTTCTGTCCGACTAGTTGGGTGATACTAAAACAATTAGACCCTTCAATAGCCCATTCGGCTTCGCCTCACGGGCTATTGACCTGTACCCGCAAGGGCTACGGGTCTGATTGTTAAATAGACGCATAGAAGCGTTTCAAAAGGAACAAAAGAACTTCCTCTCTTCAAGATGTCAATGCAGGAGGTAGTATAGTAACTCCTTAACTGTGAAATCCGCTATACCAAGAAGCGATCCAAGCAAGACCAGATTAAGCTGAAAACCCAGCTTTTGAAGTTCTCCGCGGCGTTTGCTAATTGGCTCTTATTAACCGAGCACGAGGTCTGTATGGGAGAATCTTGACCGAGGTCGTGAGTACAGACCGAACGCAGTGAGGTCTGTACACACGACTGAGGTCAAGATTCTCCCATAAAGACCGACTAATGTTTATTATATGGCAAACAAGCAAAATTTAATTCGTTTTATGCAATTGGTTTGTACTAGCTGACATTTTGCTTCCGAACGGCGATGAGCTGAACTTAAATCCGCCAAAGTTTGCTCGTCTTGTTTACTTTTTTTTTCTGATCAGGCTTTTTGGCTTTTCAACTAACATTTTTAGAACAAAATAGTCAATATTTTTGTATTTTAGTTTGCAACTCTTTCACCGCAAAATGTAACCGGTCTAGATGCCGGTCTAGATGGGAAAATCTAGACCGTGGTTATTATCGATTTCAGCCAATCAAATTCGTGAATTCTGTAGTTCCCAGTCCTTGTGAGACACAACCATATAATAATAGGCCATATTAGTATGCTCGATATTGGGCTGGAACTAGCTGGCCACTTAGGCTAATGTGAAACAAGCTACACATTCATATCTAAGTAGCTGGCATAATGTACTCGAAAAGCAGTTTTCGTGAATCTGATATTTTTGCTAAGTTCTTATTAAACTTCACTACACCATGCAGCAACCCACTCCCCCTTCCCCATACAACAGGCAGAATGTGCGCTAGAATGTTGGCAGCCCGTTTTTCTCTCTAAATCTAGCGGGGAGAATGAGACTAGACGGTTTATACGAGAAGGGATTCAGACGGATTTCCTTCCCATACCGCCCTTTTTACGTTCGTGTTGGCGAATGAACACTCGTACCCTAAAAGTAAAGACCGGCTGCCAACACTAGCCTGCAACATTCTTCGAAAGGAGGAGAAAATAGGGCGAATGGGATTGAAAGAGGGGTTCAAAATGACAATGTGTCGAGAATATTGGGGAGTTTAAGAAAACCAAAATGACAACGTCGTCTGATTGGCCGAAAGCGTACAGTGAGTTTTCGAAATCAGCGCCTGTGTCGTCATCTAGGTGCAGATTATACAATAATCATGTCAAGGACACTCAGGGTGACGGGTAATGTCATGTATGACCGCGGTATATGATTTCTAAGGGTGATCATGTCGAGTTCGCGCGCATTGTGTTGCTTACCGTCAGAGAAGAAACAAAAACATGACTTCCATTTTTTTCGTTCAATGTATAAGGTAAGGGTTATTAGCCTCAGCCTTCGGCTTCGGATGATAACTCCTACTTGATTATTAACCTTAATTATTCCGGATATGACAAAAACCCCATCAGTAGTATATAGGGAATTAACCAAATACCATTTCACAAAGGGAGCCTTATTTCACCGTTTCGTTTCGAAACGGTGAAATAAGGCTCCCTTTGTGAAATTGTATTTGGTTAATTCCCTATATACTACTCACAACAGTGGCACCCCCGCGCAGCGCCCCGCCAAACGAGGGGCGGCGGAGTGGTGCGCGAGGGGCGCGGGAGCGCCGCGTCCCGCCACGAGAGGTGGCCGCGGCCACTGGAAAGAAC